GAAAGGAAGAACTATCTCTCTCTCTCTCTCTCTCTCTCTCTCTCTCTCTCTCTCTCTCTCTCTCTCTCCCACTATCTCCCCCTCTTGTACCACGTAGCAAGTGGTTTATACGCAGACAGCGATCGGTGATCTAATCCAAATCGCAGGTGCCGGCAGTGTAATTGGACTGTTAACACCTCGCGCGAAAAACCGTGAGCGCCCGTAGATGCCTGCGCGTGAATTCCGCCACGCGGCTCAAACTATTCAAGCGAGGCTGTAGATATTCGAGTAGCGAATGTTACTCGAATAAACTCAACGCGAAATTCAAAATATTTAAACGTTCGACACGTGTATCGAAGTGGGTCATAGATTTCTTCGCCACTCGTTTATTCAAATATTCGGATACGCGTTAGAAGTTTGATAGTTTGGTCATAAATGCCAGAAACGCAATAAACACGAAAGCAGCACGGAGTAAATAATCGTCGACGTTGTCGATATTAACGCTCGCCTCTCTCTTTCTCTCTCTCTCTTTCGTATGTTTGCCAACGTATAATATATTCCGATTTGCGTTATTCCCAGAAATGTAGAAAGGTAAATTTATATCATCTCCCTAGGGTCTCTCGAGAAAAATAATACGGGGAGATTACGTTACGGTGAAGAGAGTCGCGTTGAGAATCGCAGTTATCGAAGTCACCGTCGCGGTGACCGCGAATTTTTGAATAAAACCGCTTCCAATCGCGTCGCTGCTGACGTCGCTGATCACCGGGACGTGGGATAAGGTGTTCTCGCGTGCACAGTCAACAATAGCGCAGTCCGCGAGTATCTTGGCGTATCGTCATGATCCGGAGCGTTCGGCGCGATTATTCTCGTACCCGCGCGACAGGCAGGCAGGCGGGCAGGCGGGCAGACAGTCATAAAACATCAGCGTGGAAAATTTTGCCGGTGCACGAAAGTGTACGTCGAGTTCACGGAGCGAACAGTAGTCGTAAGTGGAGCACAGCTCTATTACGAGGAAGGCGTGATTAATAAACTCGTGCGCGTTACGCAGGTGGAGGCTGCTGGCGGGTTCCACCTGAAACTTCCGCGCCGGCTCCCGTCGACCCCGTCGACAATTCACGCCACTTGTCATTGACTTGTATTTCAGCGCGGCGACAATGTTGGACAACATTTATCAGAGCGTCCGTATTTATTCAGGAAGGAAATAGGCTCGTATAGTCGCCGCCTGCACTCTCGCACGCACGGTAG